GCAGCTTGTTTTTCCAGCTTCAGATGGAGAGTACTATATGACTGTAAAGCTGTTCTGCATGGCTGCCAATCTTAGGTTTTGTGGTGCAGACAACAGTCTCTCTACGAAAAAGCAGAACTCTCATGATTAGCACAACCAATGTTGCCCTTACATTCTATTTGACTTGATTATGGAACAAATCAAATACATTTTCACTAGATTATGTCTTCCACCTATTTATGTGCTCACAACAGAACACAGAAATACACTATGAAGACTGGTTTCCATTTTAACCTTCACAAAAACTCACCAAACAAAACCCAATATATATTTCACTTTGTTTCACTATTAAGCATAGGGATGAGGCAGCGCAGACAGCTATGTGGCATTCTGGTAACAACCTTATCATCCTTGCCCCAGCCTTCTAGAGAAGCGAGGAATCATTACAATCTTCCACTGCAATCAATAAGACTCAAGCATGAGTCAAGCAATTTTTTTTTTCCTTTGTTTTGAGGATTTTTTTTGCTGTTTTCCTTAAATCCGGCACAGTGACGGAGATCAAGGTGCCCATTTCCTCCCCTTTTAAATACATGATTCTCTTCTTCCCTGGACTAAAACATGTTGAGAATTGCTCAACAAAGTGCTATGTGAGATGTATGGTGGGCAGGAGTCTTCTGAGTATCTCGGTATGTTTTTAGTTTATCTTACAATATGACGTATGGAGCTTTAGGACTCAAATTCAACATGCTGGCATTGATTTTCTCCTCCTCTGAATCAAAAGAGAGAATGGTACTGAATGCACTGTGGCTGGGAACTAGCAAATTTCAATGTCTTTCTCTAGTGACATACAGGTAGGTGGATTTGTGTATTGCTTTACAAGGAGGTGTCATCTGCCCCAGCTTATGTTATATTTTCTGACTTGGTTGGGCATATGTCAGTTTTGTTATCACCATTCCAAAGCTGTGTATATCATGATGTTATATAAGCAAATTTGGTACATACTGGAAGAAATAAGCCATAGTTATCTGGTTTAGAAATGTGCTGTCAGAGATTAGCATCTGGCATGGCTGACTAGTCACAGTGTAAGACAAGGGGATATGGGCTAAGCTCTTGTTTCTGGACCAGTGAAGATACCTACTCAGTGGAAACTTCATCAGCCCCCCTTGGGAGGAAGAAGTGCTCTATGATCTTTGCAAGCAGGCCCCAGAAGGAGCCTATGAAAGGGAAAAAGAAGAAAAGAACAGGGCTGTTCTAGTAAAGGGAGGGAAGACAGAAACGAGTGAGACAGGATGCGGAGATATGTGGAAAAAAATCCTAGCAAGTTGTATTTCCTAAAGAGAGCTGTGGTCTTATAATATGTACAGTTTCTAAGGACCAAGCCAAGGTAATTGTTTCGGACAGCAAACAGTTGTTCAACCAAAGGAGCAGCTCCACACCTCACCAGGAGGACTTTGGTATGTAAGTATGCTCACAATAGCCCCCAAACCTGATTCTATGTGGTTTGTTGGGTTTTTTTTCCAAAAAAACCCCAGAACCCTTTAACAAGTGTGCTTCCTTAGATTAGGTATTAGCCAGTATTTACTTTGTAAAGGCCATGGGTGGCCTTTTAATACAGGCTTAAGGATCCTGTGGCATCACTTACACACTGCAATTGCTAGCCAGAAGCAGCACAACTATGTGGTATTTTCAACGTGCCTGTAGTTTCCTAACCACAGGGTCGGACACCAAGAGCCAACAGCCCCCGTGATGGAGCAGAGTGTGCTCCCCACCTCATCAGGTGCACTCAGCACTGCAGGCCTGCTGTACGGTGCTGCTCTTCCATGCGGCACCATACTTTATACGGAGAGCACGCTGATTTGACAGCTCTTCTCAACACCCTACAGTCACAGTAGAACACAGCCATTTTCAGCTACGCCGAGAGCTTGTGTTTATTGTGGTGGTGACTCTACCCTGTGTAAAAGTGAAGTTATAGACACCTGATGGACTCATTCATTGCTAGATCTGTGCCCTTCATTTAAAGCCAGCAATGCTCTTCAGGTTGTTATTTTCCAAATATAGCTTTGATAACCCAGTTCTGAGAGCCCAGGGGAAGAGACATGACTACTTTGCTAATTGATGCTGATACACCAGGGAGAATCGTCACTGTCTACAGCAGAGTTTTCCCTTAAAGTGGACTAGGTCAGTCAGAAGGCAATTGCACTA